AAATAAACCTTTCAATCAGAATCACCAAAATAAAGATATTAATAAAAGAGAAAGAAATACACAAAGTATTTTAAATCACCTTTGAGTCCAAAAGAAACTCTGTGCTCCAAGGACCTGCAGTCCCCTCTTACTGCTTACTGTCACCTTCCTGTGGTGGCTGCCATTCCAGTTTCTCACTCACGATATTCTCTTTTTATGATTTTGTAACCTCTTTTCCATTTTAGAAAGAATACCATGTTTAGCCTATAAAGTATAACATGACTGTGCCACTCATTTATTATTAATAATTTCTTCTTTTTTTTTCTCCAAATGTTTAGAACCAAGCTATTTTTTAAAGAAAAAAAATAGGAACATAACTTCAAAGAATCAGGAAAATAACAAGGAATTTAATTTGAGAAAGTAAGAAAAAAATAAACTTGATCTGTTAAATAAGTTTGGCTTCCAATAAATTTGATCTCTTCCATGTTAGTGTCTAATTACGGTTTGATTTGCAAAGATGCTAAATACGGCAGTTTTCCTTCTCTGACTTGGGCAGGAGTTGTGGTGCTCAGCACCTTCCATCATAAGACAATGAATCATTGTAAAAATTTGGCAAATATATTTTTTTACTTAGTAGGAAGACCTCAAAATGCCAGCTACAATAAGGCAATCCTTTCTCCTTGGTTAACGGTGTGCATCAGATACCATTTTACCTATTAGATGCCTAAGTGCAATCCTATTTCATTTTCTTCAAATCGCTGAAAAACTATTAACACCCTCTATTTTTGTTACATGTTACCACCTTAGGCTTAAACCTAAGTCACAAAAAACAGTGGGGAGGGGAAAACCCCATTCATGTTTCCTCAGGGATTCAAACAGGGTGGAAAAAGATCATACTTAGGCACTTAGGTGCCCAATAAAATAAGATTTGGCTCTATATTTCTGCATTTGCAAATTTAATTTTCTGCTTACATATGGGTGCTTGTCTAATCTATTCCTACACTGGATAGAATTTAAACCTAATATTTTTCTTTCTGTGTGTACATATAAGCCAATAAATCTCTTCTTTAGTACAGTAACATCATTTTTACTATTTGGCAAAAATGTCAAATACCATAGCCTCTTGTAGCAAATAGAGTTAAATACATAGAACATCCAGTTTATTTTTGGAGCAAGTAAAATATACTTTTAGCCAAAACCTGAATTTCAGTTCTTAACTGTGTCAATAAATGCATCATAAAAGAGGTCAGAACGAGAATCACTTTTCATAAAAAATAAGTTCTAACGCACAACTAGCTTGAGTTAAAATTTCCCCAGTTAGATTCTGTCTTGTTTCTTATACTCAATGCTTTAATCAAAAATTGTTCTCTTCCCTATCTAACTATAATGCATCTTCCCATGGAATACATCAAAATATGGGCGTTTCTAATTACTCTGAACTGGAGCACAGTCAAGAAGATTTTCACTCCACACAAGGTAACAATTTGGGTCTAAATTAGTGAGTTATGAGAGCCCATTTTTGCTATGTAGTTAAAGTGAAAACTCTCCTTTCCACTTTTATTTTCTAAAATGACTAACCTTTTGGTATAGAGTATTGAAGTTAGAACAAGACAACTCAAAACCCCACCGATATCTAGAAGAGCAGGAAAAGGTTGCTGGATTTGGGCAGCTGGAGAGAGAAAAGGACACAGCTGAAGATAGTGTAGTGACAGCAGCATGGCTCCCTTGAGAAGGAGAGAAAGAGGAAACAGTTAGTGAAGAAATGCTAAAAGAACAAAAGGTAAATTAAATGAAAAGAAAAGCAGCTGGGAAGTGAGACAGGTAGAAAAGAAAAATGAACAGAGTAAAGTAAAACACCAACAGAAAGTAGAATGGAAGATGTGCAAGGCAGGAAAGTGGAAGTGAAAGAAATGCAGACAAAAAAACCTAAATGTGTTTACTTTTAGCAGTCATATTTCTTATTGCAGTTATATGAAACTCACTAGAGCCCTGGATTGGATCTAGACCATGGGGTTCATTCAGGGCTGGATCCAGCCTGGGGAGTGAGGGCTGCCATGGTGGAAAGCACAGCAACAAGGATTCCAGTGACAGTGTTGAGTCCGACAGCGGCAGCAAGCCATGCTTGCCACCGATGGCCGTTTTCAGTGGGGACAAAAGGCCCCAGACTGTGGCAGGCTGTGCCCCTACCCCTAATTTCTGTGGCTTGATAACCCTTATCTTATTGCAACGAGGGACTGATGTGGTTGAAATCTTTACTATATTTTATTTCAATGTAAGCATTATTTTTCTCTCTAACATACAGAATTCTTACCTCCAAAGAAGGAATTAATTAATTCTGGTGAGGAGTAAACAGTTGGAGAAAAGAGATACTACTATATAGAAGTAGGTAACTTTTCATTGATTTGGGATTTGAGAGTTCCAGCTGTGACTGGAAAGGCAGGGGACTGGATCATTCAGCTTTTAAGGGCTAGTTTCTCACTTAAACATTTTGATCATTGCTGAATCTTACAAGGCTGTGATCTCATATTTTATAGGACCCAATTTTGCTTGTAATTGGCTGGAAAACATCCAAATGATAACCAGAAACCTAAATGGACCATAAGAAATGGTACTGGAGATTCAGTATATGGCATCCTTGCCTATGAATCACTAAACCAGTGCTCTAACCTTATTATTGTTGTATAAAGACAGGAAACTATTGTGCTAGGCACAGTCCAAAAACATTACCCTTGTATTGAAGCATTTACAATCAAATAATTTATTATCTAAGAATGGTGTTGGCACTAGTGTAAGAAGGTGTCTTCTTCCAGCTGAGGTGTGAACCCAAGGTTCTTCACATTCAAAAGACACTAAATATACAGCACTAATATTCTCACCCACACACCCAAACCAAGGATATTAACCCCAGTGGTCTGGTCAAATTTCAAATTAAATAATTACATTCTTCTACCAAAATTTCCACTGCAGTATGTACTAGATACTGTATTTTTTACTTCCTGTCCTAAACCATTATGTGGTAATGCTGTAGGTTTTACCTTTGCAGTGATGTTTTTGCCTTTACTATCCTTCAATGGCTCCTGGTTCACACTGCTAATCAGATCTGGCCTGTCTCAGAAGACAGAGGATAACTGCACAGGACTGAGATTCCTAGATGAAGGGCAACAAAAAGGCACATGCACAGGCAAGTGCATCTCTAAAGCAGCAACTAATTTAAACAATCTAATATTTCCGTAATATAAGTAAATAATGATCTTGAAATTTCACTTCTACTTTCTAGGTGCTTGTACATCAGACAAGCATCTCTTTCCCCACTTCTATTCACTAATTAGACTTTATGCAATGGTGAAATCTTTGTACAGTACATGTGCTTTATATCCCAAATCAGTTCTCAGTACCAAGTCCCTGGGCAGAACTCTGATGGCAAAGGTTTTCAAACATGTGGAATCAGTACTCTACTGTAGCAAAAATGCAAGCTGCATTTGGGAAGGTCCGGAACAGGGATGATACCAATGGATCTGAAGCAATGCTGCTCCACCAACTGTTCCCCATGGAATGAAGGCACAAGTGCTACGGGAGTTACCAAAATCTTGATGCTGCATTAATGGTTCCAGAGTAGCTTTATTGCCATACTTCAGTTGGAGGCAAAAGCATTCTAACTCCCTGCTCACTCATTCTTCAGTATGTTGCCCTGGCCATTATACAGACCATAGTATTTCTAAGACTTAGTCCACCATGAACCGCAACATGTAAGATGGAATTCAAGTATGAGGCCCAGAAAAATGAAAACTGTTACCATGACCTACAAAGAGATGGCTCCAAATAGCTCATCTCACTAGCATGACCACTCTGAAATCAATGGACCGCTATTACGTAACACATAGGCCAGTTCACGGTGGCTCTGGCCTCCTGTATGAAGGCTGGATGTAGTTCAGCATCTTATTTAATTTTATTGCAAAGCAATAACATCATGCAGTGGTATGGTTTGCCATATATTTTTGATGACCCATTGAATAAAACATTCCAGTAATTTTTCTGGGCTTCAACTAAAGACAAAATTTGAAAAAGATTCACACTAAGCAACAGTTTTGTTATCTGTCAGTTTAACAACATAATTATCAGAGCAGGTGAGAAATAAAAAAATGATAGATAACCTTGACAGAACAGTTCACATTTTTTAGAAAATCAACACAATACATTGACAGATTATAAAACCCAATACTCAATTCAGTTTCTACTTATAGATATGAAGATAGTAAAAAAAAAAATCTTTAGGTTGTTTCACATTTATCAGAATAGAAAGAAGGGCATTTGTGCAAATGCATGCACTGCAATGCCAAGCACTTTTAAAAGTGCCCGGAGCTGTGGCGCATGCATTTGTATAAATGGCGAAATGCGCATCAGTGCTGAGAAAATGGTGGTGACATGTTTTCGAACTAAAACACATGTAAGGTGTTTTAATTCAAAAGTGCACTGCCGCCATTTTCTGCGTTCTGATGTGCATTTTGCTGTTTATAAAAATGCATGCAATGCACAGCTGCAGGCTAGCTTGCATGCTTCACAGACTTGATTAATAGAGCCTGCTCCGATGTGCTGGATTTCTGGCGTGTCAGAGCAGACAAAGGTATGTGTGTAAATGCCAGAATTGACTATGATCACATCTTTCTTACATTATTTGGGAAAAATAAAACACTTTGGAAGTAAAAGAAAAATATTTTTAGATCGATACCCTTTGTAGATGCATTACATAAATTTTTCTTTTTTAAGTTTTCCCATCTACAAACCAATCCTTTATTTCTAGAATCAAACCACTAATTAATCAAACATTTATATAACTAAATTGTTGACTTACATGGTAACTCTTCAGTCTAACAAAATCAACTTTCATGGAGATGAACCGTTCTGAATTTCTACTGAGATTCTTAATGTGCTCTACAAGGTCAGCACAGAACTTGTAGCCACCTTTAAGGACGCAAAGAACCACGATGTCATTGTCTCCAATGTCTTGGGTGATGTCTTTGGCCAGGCGCTCTGTCCTGAAGTAAAAATTAAGGATAAGCATAGCATAATATGCAGATTCTCCAGCATAATATACTTTCCATGTAGTTACACAAAAATTAACTCAGGCAAAATTTATCTAAAGCCCATGCCCAAAATTTATCTAACAGCCCAAAATTTATCTAAAAGCCAAGTTCTAACTGATTTCAGCAGACCACAAAGAGGGTGCTGTAAGAAAGAATGGGCACCTATACACATGCAGCGAGGATGCGCTGATGCTCTGCAGTTATAGCACGTTGGATTAGACTCAATTAGTTGAGTCTGCTGGAGCATGGTAATTCCCACAGTCTAGCAGACTCCAGTGTCACGTGCATCAGCGTCCCCGCATTGACAAATGATGGCAAGGGTGCTTTAACTAAAGCTCATTCAATGAGCTTGCACCCACTCACCCCCATTCCTGGAGCACATGTATAAATACCCAATCTGATCAGTCATTGCAAGATTCTAAATGCGTATAATCACACAGGCTAGGACTTCTCATTAGGCATATTCCTCTAATTATATAAAGAGAATAAGATACAGCAATACATACATATATTATAAAGGAATTGGAAAGACTTTCAGGGTAATCAACAAACTTGGCCTTACACTATCTCATCAGACATTAATTGAAAGTATTTCCACCATCACACCTTTTCATGCTAATTGCTACCTAACAGTTATTGGTTAAAAAATGCTATATAAAAAGGAGGAATATCAGAAATGCTTTAAATAGAGTAGGATAAGGAAAAAGTCACACCTACATTTTAATAATAGATGTAAATACTTAATACATACAGAATTATTTAAAAATCCCAAAGCACTTTGCAAAACAAGACTACAATATCTCTGTGTTAGAGCTGAAAGAAAGTGAGATGCTGCCCAAAGTCACACAGTAAAACAGCAGAGACAGGAAGAGTCAAGATTATTCAGGATTAATTTGGGGATTAAGGTTCTTACAATATCTACATTCTAACTGATAAAGTCTCCTTTAAAAAGCAAAATGTAGCATGTGAGAAATAATATACCCAGTTTTTCAGTAGGATAAAGATTTTGGCTTAAAAAACTAATGATTTTGGGTGCCCCATTTTTAGCAAGGACATAAGCGCCCAGCATTTCTGGAAATCAGGTCTCTACATTGTCTCACATTGCTGGGCACCTAAAACAGTTACATTTTTTCATGTTAACTTCAATTTCTAACATCTAGCAATGATAGTTTCTGACGAAGATCGAATAGTGTCTTGCTCTACTACAGATCAGTGTAATTTGAGCTAGAAAGCAACAACAGAGTTTAAACCCCATAGATATTCGGGAAGTTAAATCAGGTTCAAAATGGCCACCCAATTTAAACTTAGCTTGGCCTGGTACCGACTTTACACTTACAGCCCCTGTCTCAATGAATGGAAATTAGTCTAAACCTGTAACTGTACAGAAGTTCCATGCACACAAATCAATCTAAAAATTGCAGGATTCAGTTTAAGACAAACCTGGATTTATGTGGTATCAAACTTATTTGATTTAGTTCAAACTTGTACATGGAACTTCTGTCCACTTTCCCTGTACAGCCCCACCTCCCTCCCCCTGAAACCTGACTTACTTGATATTGGGCAGCCATTTTGAACCGATTTAACTTTCCCCTATCGCCCCCGAATGTCTGTACTTAGCCCAAATGTATAACTGCATCTTATTTGAGAGGAAGGATAAGCATTCCTAAAATGGGAGTTGATATTAACTGATACTACAATAGAGGAACGAATTAATTCAACATTGACTGGAGAAAGATAATAAAGGGAAGTTGACTGATACCTGTTCTCACAATCATTTGAAATGAGGGCATAACTTTGAGTGGATGGATCTCTTCACAGTGAACCCAATATAATAAGATTTTAAAACATTCTATTATGATAGATTTTTGAAATCATCTTTTGGGAAGTTCTAATATCCCCATTATTTGTAGCAAGCCTTTGAAATGTATGGAGGTAGGGAGGGGAGAAGACTCACAGGCTAATGATACCTTAGGAATTCTATTTACCGACATGTTGATAAAAAAAATCACCAATTCCTTACTTTAATTTGTGCATTTTAGGAAAAATACCAGTATCCTGCCAAAATAGCTGAAAGCAAACTGAAAGCTGAGTTTTTATACATTTGCATGCAATCTTTAACTACATGACCCAGGATGCTGTTTTTTTTCTGATTAAAAAAATCCCAAATTCTCTGATTATCACTGGCCCCCAACAAAATCCACATTTTTCCATGTTTAAACAAAACCTCACTCTATATTATCTGGATTGATATGGAATTTTGTTTTAATCATGGGAAAATATGGATTGGGGAGAGGGTGTTAAAATCAGAGATTTTTGGTTTGGTTTTTTTTAATCAGAGAAAACCGGGATCTTTGATGATCATATAATAACTTTTCTACAGTACTCCTATTTCACTCTGCACATAGAATGGCTATGAAAAGTGGATAACTAAGTCTGCAGCAGCAACTGTAAATCTGACATTTCTCAGCTTTCAAGTGCTCCACTTTCAAACCCAGTAATACTCTTTTATAATACTCTTTATTGCATGCAACTTTGCATATAGTTTGTAGGTGTCCAGCTGCATATCTATAAGCAAGACCACAAAATACTGCAATGTATTTATTTATTAATATTCAAACCACACATACCTGTCAACAATAATACCATGAGGTATGAGCACATATTCCAGATCTCCATAATAGTGCTGTGGATAAGTGAATAAATCCAAACTGTACCCTGGCCAATCATCTGAAATCTGAATATAGATTAATAACATTAGAATACTTTGTTTTATTCAATATAAGAAAATGTGCCACATGATAAATACTAGACTACACCCCTCCATACTCAATTTGACATTAGTTAGAAGCTCCGATTAGTGCAAACATTTCTCACATTCAAAATGGTATGCATTTGAAAAATCATGTGATCAAAGGCACAACGTAATTGCTACCCAACTGCTTCATTTTTGTCTATTAGTCCATTTCCTCCTAAAACTACTTCTACAAATAAAACCTATTGAATGGCTTTAGGCTAGCATTCTTCAAAAATCTGCCACAAAAATGTTGTGAACTTATTCCCCAACTCAAATGGGGAATGTACGCACACATTAACCTCAGATGCAGAGGGGACAATATTTAATATTGGACCAGTAACAGGATTAAAGTTTGATGCATCTGATAACTTTAAAAATACTGCCAAACTAAAACTGTGAGTGTTATATATACTATAGGTGATGACAAGAGTCTCAGATGCCTAATGGGATCCAGAATTTAAGAACTGAGACTTTAACTTTGTGCTATTTTAGCAACAAGAGCAAGAGGAAGGTCAGGGAAAGTATGGATCCCTTACTGAATGGGGGAGTCAACCTAGTGACAGATGATGAGGAAACGGCTGAAGTACTCAATGCCTTTTTTATCTCAGTCTTCACAGGCAAGATCAACTCCTAGATTACTGCACTGGGCAGCACAGTTTGGGGAGAAGGTAAAAGAACAGGTTAGGGACTATTTAGAAAAGTTGGACATGTAAAAGCTCATGGGGCTGGATGCAATGCATCTGAGGATGCTGAAGGAGTTAGCCGATATGACTGCAGAGACATTGTTCATCTTTGAAGACTCGTGGCAACCAGGGGAGGTCCCAGACTATTGGAAAAGGGCAAATATAGCACCCATTTTAGGAAGGGGAAAAAGGAGGATCCAGACCAGTCAGCCTCACCTCAGTCCCTGGAAAAATCATGGAGCAGGTCCTCAAATAATCTATTTCTAAGCACTTGAAAGTGGAGAAGAAAGTAACCAGGAACAGTCAGCATGGAATCACCAACAGTAAGTCATGCTTGACCAATCTGATAGTTTTCTATGATGAGATAACTGGCTCTGGGGATGCAGGGAAAGCAGCGGACATAATATACCTCAACTTTAGCAAGGCTTTTGACACTGTATCCCACAGCATTCTTGCAAGTAAGATGAGAAAGTATGGGTTGGATGAACGGATTGTAAGATGGATAGAAAGCTGGCTTGATTGTCGGGCTCAACGTAATCAATGGTTGAATGTCTAGCTGGCAGCTGGTATCAAGTGGAGTGCCCCAGGGGTCAGTCCTGGGGCTGGTTTTGTTCAGTATCCTCATTACCTATCTGGAAAATGGGATGGGTTGTACACTCAACAAGTTCACGGATGACACCAAGCTCGGGGGTGTAGTAGATACGCTGGAGGGTAGGGCTAGGATTCAGAGTGACCTACAAATGGGACGATGGGGCCAAAAGAAATCTCATGAGGTTCAACAAGGACAAGTGCAAAGTCCTGCACTTAGGACAGAAGAATCTCATGCACTGCTACAGGGTTGGGACCAACTGGCTAAGCAGCAGCTCTGCAGAAAAGGACCTGGGGATTATAGTGAACAATAAACTGGATATGAGCCAACAGTGTGCCCTTGCTGCCAATAAAGGTAATAGCATACCGGGCTGCATTAATAGGAGCCCTGAAAGCAGATCGAGCAAACTAATTATTCCCCTCTACTTGGCACTGGTGAGGCCACATCTGGAGTACTGTGTGCAGTTTTGGGCCCCCCCCAGATATACAACCTCAGACATCTTGACTTTCTTCCTTCCAGTTTGGACACACAAATATCAACGAGGAAAAGAACAGCTTTTTGGGGTACAATATCTGAATGACTTCTTTGCTGAACAATCTTTCAGACTGAAGGAAAAAAAGTCTTTGAAAACAAACAGGGCATGTAGATATACCTATTTATGAAGGATTAATGCTTCTTCATTTTAATAATTATTCAATCATTTTGGTTACTCAGTTCTATTATATTATTAGTCTTGATGTGGCTTCTACCTTTCTCATTGATATATTTTTTTCTGCAGCCAGTTTGGTATACTAAATTATGCTTTGAAGAAATAATGCTTAGCTAATGATGGTAATTTTGTAACATAGTTTCTTAGATACACAACAGAAACTGTTTCCTGTAGAGCTTTGTCTCGTTCAAAATTATTATTTGTTGACAATTAATATTTAAAGACAGCATAATCCAAAGACCATTGGTGTCCAGAGTTTTTCCACTGATTTTGATGGGCTATGGATCTGGTCATTAAAAAGAGCTACTCAGCTGTAGTCCTTTTTTCACAGGACAAGCAGTTACTAAGGGTATGCAAAGAGGGCCCTATTCGATTCGGATTCGGCCCGAATCAGGGACAGTGATTCGATTAATTGATTTGGATCACCATCCCTGATCCAATCGGCCAAATCTGAACCTGAAGATTCGATGCTGATTCGGAGAATCAGCAATTCGGACATGGACACAGTGTTAAATGTTTTTTCTACATATCTCTAAGGACTAGTGTGGTTTGTGAACGCTGCGATGCTGGGGCAGCCTCCATGTGCTCGGCGGTGAACCCGGAAGTGGACCGGAACTACTTCTGGTTCACTTCCGGGTCTGCCAGGGAGTGCACTGCCCCCCTCCCCTCTCCGGCTCGGCGATCAGCTGTGGGGGGACTCTGGTTATCCCCCACCCCAGACCCAGGAGGCACCAGTCGTTGAGCCGGGGGAGAGCGAGGAGGTCTCCCTGGCGTACTCCCCAGAAGTGGACTGGAAGCACTTCTCATCCACTTACAGGTCTGCTGCTGAGCGTGCTGGGGAACCCTCCATGCTCTTGTGGGACACTCCATCCGCCCCAGCATCGCAACATTCACGAGCCGCCTGCTACCTAGAGGTATGTAGAAAAATCATTTAAAGCTGTGTGTATGTCCAAATCGCCAAATCTTTCCGAATCAATTTGGAGGGTTCTGATTTGATTCAGATTCAGAGATTTGTCCACCAAATTGGGTTGAATCTCCGCCAAATCAAATCAGGGACTGAAACTTCGCACAGCTCTAGCAGTTACATCCATCCTGACAGCTGTAAAGTTGTTTTGTTTGTTTTTTACTATAACACAACTGCAAAAGGTCCAGAAAACTTATCTGTAAGTCTTCTTCAACTCTAATTTAAATTAATCTACTTACAGGGGACTCATACTTTAACATTTTTTATCGACTTCAAGACGCTTTGTCTAGTTATGGAGCCTAGGAGCAGACTAAAAAAAAATCAAAACTGATCCAAAAATGATTTAAAAATAACCATCTTTACTGAAGTTACAATAGATCTTTTTACAGTCAGTATTGCATTCTAATTCTTCTATCAACCATTCTGTTTTTTTCCCCAAATCCACTCTTACCAGTGAAACAACACAAACTGTATCATCCTATAAGGATCCCTACTGATTCCCATTTTAATGGGAAATCAATAAACCTACTATAGCTGTTCCTTTCTCTTTAGATACATAGCCACCTACCAATAACAGGCCTTGTGAATGAATTCTTTTGAACTGATCTCACAAGGTCCCTTCCAGCTCTAAACTTCTGTGAATCTGTGACCCTACTTCTCATTAGATGCAAACACAGCTACAGCATTAAAGAAGAAATACTATAACATGATTTTGAAGAATCTCCACTGGAATCCCTACTTTTCAGGCCATAGTAATTTTCAATAAAGAAGGGCTGAAAGTTTTCTATGCTTGTTCTTAGACAAATGGTGAATTAAGAATATATAAAGAAAGAACCTAAAGGAAGAAACTATAGCTCATTTAGTTGTTGTCAGTCATGTAAGTCTGAAGAAAGGTTTGCCATGCTTTTCAAAAACATATTAATAGTAGAGTAAGTAAAACAATTAAGTTCAAGCATGACACGTATTGTATTCAAATGTGGAACAGCGTGCCAGTAATTGTTTAGGAATAAAAATTGTTGAGGAAATATATTACATGACAATCAGTCTGCAAGCATGATATGTCTGAATGTAATCACTTAGGACATCTGGAACAAAACTACAGGAGTACCTTATTATGCCATGAAAACACACTAGAATGAAAGAACTTTTAGAAGGGAGTGCAAAGTGGTAATCTGTCAAAAAATAGGGACTCTCTCCTTGTATCTGACACACACAGGCAGTATTTATTTACAGCAGTTAAATTTCATTGCAGTATACAACACAGGTCTGGTTCCGCTTTCATGTAAACTGGTAGGGTGGGGCATCAAGCAATCTTCCAGAAGAATATGAGAACCATAACAACGTCGTTATCTTTGTAAATGGCACTTATCACAGCAATTACCATCCGGCTACCCAGTCTGTAAATGAAAGTACATTAACAGCTCCTCCACGCATTATAACTGCAATTGTGTGCAATTACAACATGGTGGCTTTTGGGCTATAGTCCAGAGCAAGGGTTAGCAACTCCTGGCATGCATGCCAGAGCCTGGCAGGTGGGAAATGGGCTGGGACTGCACTGCCGCAAGGATCGGGTACCTTGCATCTCCCCTGCGCCCCAAGGCATGTGTGAACCTGCTGCCAGCAACGAGCTGGGCCGGCGCTCTGCAGACCTCAGCACAGAGGATTATAGCCTTCTCACCACCTGCTATGGGCAGCCTGGACTCCGTGGCAAGTGGCAGAGTCCTGCCCAGAGCCTGAGCCAGTTGGAAGATGCAAGCCGGTGCACTGAGATCTGAAGAGCCCTGCCCTGGCTCGTTGCTGGTGGCGGGTGCAAGCAAGGGACCTGATCCTTGTTGTGGCAGTGCAGAACCACCCCTTCCCCACTGTCCACCCCTGGGTGCGTGAGCACCTGCCGCCAGCAATTAGCTGGGCCAGGGCTCCACAGACATTGGTGCAGTAGATTCCAGCCTCCCAGCTGCCTGCCACAGCCAGCCGACTCTAGACAGGCCCCTGCCACCCACCAGGGAGTTTAGGCTGCTCACAGCAGGTGGCGGGGAGGCTGCAAGCTACTGAGGTCTGCAGAGCCCAGGCCCAGGTTGTTGCTGGTGGCAGGTGTGCGCGCACCATGGGTTGGACAGCAAGGAAGAGTCTGGGGCTGCGCTGCCATAAGTATTGGGCCCCTCCCCCGCTGTCCGGCCTCTTGCATGCCAACACGCGCACCCCCTGAGATTGGCCATGCACCCCCTGGAAGCGCCGGCTGCGAAACCAGTGCACTTCCAGTTTTGCCACTGGCTTGGCGATTGGCTGTTAGGGGGACCCCCACCATCGGCAATCTGGTGCCCCCCCCCCCGACTCAGGAAGCACCAGTTGCCCATGCCTGGGCCTGAGAATTGTTTTGGAAGCTAATTAAGACACTGCTGGTAACACTACCATAATGCAACTGGAATATGACGATAACCTATCCCTAGTGTTTTTACAGTGTAGATAAAAAACGGCTGTTTCTTAGAACATCTTTGGAAACCTAGCTTCTTCATCTGCTGTTACAAGCTCATAAATCCCTGGAACTTTACAAAACATGTAGTTTTAGACAATTTCAGTACACAGAAAGGGTAAAATGAAAAGAACTCAAAAGTAGGCTTTTATTATTGGGCCCCAAACCCACAGATAAGTGGATGACTAGCCTTTATTTAGGTGCTTCAGTCGATGCTAATGCCTGAATATTTTGTGTATTTGGATCTACATTCCTTCTGTCACAGACCCTAGAGGCAATGCTCAAGACGATTCAACAGAGGCCTTGTTTTTCCTTAGAAACTACTAGTATTGTAATGTGTGACACCTTTGCTAGTCGCTGCCGAGTTTGCTTCTACCACTCACAAACCGCAGTGCTGTAACCACCAGACTAATCTAGAAACCAGAGGTTTTTCTCTTTCTCCAGCAGCCAGCCAGGCACACACATGCAACATGGGGCGGAGAAAAACGCAGCGCAGGGCAGAGCAGAAAAGAGTTCGGTTTAAAGACAGGGAGACCGAGCTCAGGTTTGAGAGCAATGGGGCAGGGCTGATGAAGGAAGAACAAGCTGGCAGAGGGCCGGTCACAGAGCGGGAAAGGTAGGATACAGCAGAGCAGACAACAAGCCGGATGTGGGACTGGATCAGCGCAAAGCAGGATCACTGCAGAAATGCAGGAGGAACAAGCAGGGGGAACAAGGCTTTGCACAGATGTCCGGCAGCACAAAGGCCAAAGCAAGAGGGAGGACGTGGGGGGAGAAATCAAGGACCTATCCAGGGAGAGGTGCGGGGGGGAGGGGGGGAGCCCCAGGTCCCGGGGGGTTGGTGGGGGA